GCCTGCTCTTATCATTGTCGCAGGTTTAATTGTTTACTCTGAATGAAAATAGTTTATCAGTATTGCGGCTGGACGGCTCAAGCAGTGTAATTTCCTATGCGACGCGTTTGCCTTATTTTTGTTTTTGTTGGTGAACGTGTTAATATAATTTAGCAATATATTGATGATAGGTAATGAATATTTGAAGCAAAAATACCAGGAAAATCCTTATGAGGAAAACTTGAGACGGAATTATTTTTGTAGAGAAATATTTGTATAAATGAGTCATGGGTCTAAGTCATGTTGACAATAAAAGTGACTCGAACTAGCGGCGATTTTGATCCGAATACGGGCTAAAACGTTGTATCAATATGATGTAAATAAAATAATGTTGTCGCTGGTTTCTTATTTTGAGACGAGAGACCTCAGCTTTCTGATTGGTTAGAGACTTGTTAGGACTTGCTTATCGCAGGATGCCAACGTAATAAGCAACAGTAAAACTGAAACGATGGCCCATATTTCTAGGAAAAGTTCGCTGGAGTGTGCAGGTGGATACGAAGCTGGTGATTGGCTACAGACTAGTCAGAGCTTGTTTATCGCAGGTCACAGGGAAGTTACAAGTTATGGTTTCGCTGCGGTTGCAATAAATGTTGACGACCCGATGGCGAAACGACGTTTTTATTTTTAGTGGCGTCATCATCAAACCCGATGGCTAAACAATATTTTTATTATTAGTTACGTCATCATCATACCCGATGGCGAAACGACGTTTTATTATTAGTTACGTCATCATCAGTACAATGCACCTTGAATGAGGTACCAAGTCACGAGCTGCTATGTGTGTTCGATGAGCCGCTTGGAGCCAAGTACGGTCAATGACCCCGAACGCAGCGGCGGCTGACCAGTTAGTGCGACCGATGAAAGACATGGGCACTGAAAAGGGGGCGGGGCTTAGCGGCAACGACTGCTGGCGGGCTGGACGGATGACCTTGAACGGTACAAAAATTGCCAGAACGGACCTTAGATTTTCTTATGGAGATTTACATGGGAAAATGACTGATTTTGCTGTAGAACTGTCCTAGCCCCTTTACTTACGGAACATAAACAAGCGCGCGATGGATACTTAAAATGCCGAGAGTGAGAGAGGATAGACAAATAGTTTTCGATATATCCAAAATGGACATACCATAAATGGGCTTATTAAATTTTATATTTAATCTATCCATGTCAATTATCACCATGTCTTCACCAAAAATTTCACAGCTGTTAAAATTGGGCTGCGAAATATAATAATTTGCGCCAAATTTACCCCCCCATTTAGTTACCAACTTAACGTCTTTATACTTTCTCACATTTTCTATGGTCTTACCATACGGTGCGTTATTCATTAGCTTGTAGACGTTTTTTTCAAATTCATTGTAGCTTAATTTTCGTAGTTCTGTATTCAAGTAAATATATACTCCTGGACAAAATTATCGCACCACTGCACATAAGCATCACCATAAGCAGTGGTGCGATAATTTTGTCCAGGAGTATATTTTTTCAACCAAGGCGATTGACTGAATTTCAAACACCTATGAATTTTTTTAATTTTAAGACCCAACTTCAAAACTAACTGCAACATTTTGTAATGAATAACGTACTTTTTCTTATTGTATAGTGTTGTTAGAAGCTTCGGAAGTGTAGACGCTGAAGTTGGTGGAACTAAATGTTCGGGACAAAGCGGCAAATCCATGTGAAGATCATATAACTCTTTGGGATAATCCATGTCTACCTCGAAGATATAACCAGTATCACTGTCCTCGGGTATATCAAAAATGTTTTTTTCTTGATAAATGTCTTCAATCCACTCAAAGTTACCTGTAGGTAGAGGATAGCTCATGGCTGCTCCATACAGGTTGACAACGTCAAAATACATCAGATAGGTAGATGGTTCGTTAGGATCGTATTCATTCATATACTTATTGTTAGCTTTTCCATATCTGTTCCAACATTGTGAAATTCCTCCTCTTATCCCTTTTTCAGTAAACAAAATCATTTCAACATCTGTTAGAAGATCTAATTTCACATCAGTAATTTTCAGCATACTGTCAAAGGCTAAGCCGGGAGCAGTATAATAATGTAATGAATCCAACTGATACGTGTCCGAACAATCTTTACGAAATTTCTCAAACACATCGACAAGAAGCAAGACGTCAGTTTTCAAATACAGTTCAGCATATTCTTTAATTGATTTGATATTGAAAGTGTCCCATACGTTACAGGCATGCCTATATTCATCTTGTGAAACAGTCGAGTTGGTGAGGTGACTAAAAAATTGCTCTATTGATGGCAAACTGTTGGTTTGTAACTTATCCCAACAGTCAATATATTCATAGGGAAATACACCTTTCCTTGTAACTAACTTAAACTGTGTTTCATCAGATTAATACTGCCTAGTAACTGGTTTTTGCTTGTCGTCAAGATAGGACGCTAATTTTTACAATTTACTTGCCATAAATCGAAATGAATCTATAAACCTAAAGCTGATATTGGTGTTTTCGATATAGTTTGTGAAAGAAATGTACTTTTCCTTATTGAGAGGAAGTAGCTGGATTTTTCCCTTAATTTCTGAACAAAGAGACCTTATAATGAAATGGCTGTCATATCCTGAAAGGTTATGAAACACCACAGGTGTCACGTGATTGTTATTGTCGTGGTAATTTAGGTTACAGGAATTATGGGCAGCTAATCTAAAGTTCCCTGTTAAATGACAGTGGCCTCTTACTTTATGATCATTTATGGAAAACGGCTTAGAGCAAATATGACAAAGTGTCGCTTTAGCATACTGCTCTTTTTCTTCTCTAGTTAAGGGTTTCATTGGCACATTTGAATATATTGACTGTATTTTGTTCGCAATTCTGCCAAGTTCTCTAACAAACCATTGTGGACAACTTTCCCCTATGTGCAGTTTAAATGCTGATAACGAGTCATCATAATTACATTTTAGATAGTATGCAATACTGAATGGTTCATGCTTTTGATATTTTTTCGATTTAGGTGTAGAGTTTTTATCATTATATTTCATTAGCATACTTTCCAAATCGGCATAAATGACAAAAGGTACTGGTAATTTATTTGCAAATTTTTTTCTTTTCTTTTGGTAGAGTGAGTTTGCATTTGTTCAAAAGTGTACAATCCTTTTAATGATTTTTAAGCACATTTTCAGTGTAGAAATGATTGAGACATCGCTCACAGATCCATTTTTTGTTATGAATATTACCAAGCTGTTTATTCAAAAAACCGTTCAAATTTTTAATGCAAGCAAAATGGAAAATCCTTTGTGGAGAGTCCTTAAAATAATCGGGTGCATCAATTTCTGGTTCATTGTTACAAGGTACAATAAGTAAATGAATTTTTTGCGTATAATATTCCATTTTGCTCAGCATTAAGGTAAAATTTCTCGTTTTTTTATACAAAAAACATGAATGGCCAAGTTGTTCATAGATTCAAATTTTGGAATGTCCCTCAGTGCTAGCGGAAATGAAATATTCCCATATTTTAATTTTGATTAAAAAGGTTTATAGGTTGAAGCACGTGAAACATGTTTATTGATTGGTGTTTGAACCAGTGCACACAAAACAGACCAAATAAAACAATAGACATCACGTTTTTATATTTACAACACATTTAGTGTCTTTAATGAATTTTGGTAAATCGACATAGGTGGATAAACCCACGCTAATTGGATTGTACGAGTTAATGTTGACTTTGATAAACCATATTTCATACAAGGCCCAACCACTGTCTCTTTCTTGAAATTCCTCCATTGTACTAAAATTTTATCCATCACATTTTCCCTGAACCAATCAGTTAAATTTGTATTGTTATCAATAACAGAATTTGTAGTTGAAAAATGTTTCACAGTCTTTTCCAAAGTTTGTGGTTTTATAAATAAACCTGTGAAAACAACATTTACTTTAAGCAAAGAATTTTTCAGTTCCTTTTTAATTCGCAAAGAGAAGACCCGAAATGTTCGTTTTAAAAATTCTTGAGGTTCTTTAAATTTTAAATTATTAATAATTCCAGTTTTGATTCGCCCATTGAAACAAGAATCCAAATCTTGCCAAACTAATTTTCTTTTATTTAAGCTTTTATTAGTTTTGGAATTAAATTTATACATTTGTAAATAGTAATTTAAAATAGCCAAATTAGATTCAACTTTATGGTAACTATGTATACTGGATTTATTTTTCAAAGCTACTAATAAGTTTGATGTTTTTTTTTAAGTAAACGAGTGTGAAATCTTGTTGTGTTTTAAGTAGTCTTCTTACGATTTTGGTTTTCTTCACAGCCTCACTGCTCAAACTATCTAGTGTTTGTCAATTGTCAGCTAGATGATGGAGGCGATGACGACGACGATGACGATGAAGAGAAAGACATCATTTTTTTTTTGTTCAATTATTTAATTTTTAGCTGCTGCTGTTGCGGACTACACTGACTTAATTCTCTACAAAATGGTTCAATTTATACAAATTTCTTATCAATTCAATTTACATCATCATTCAGCAAAAGGATAAATTTGTTGCAATCATTTTTGTTTAATGCTGATGCAGATGTTGGAAACTTACAGTAAAATTTAGGAAAAAAAAAATAATGATGGAAAGTTATTGGTGATGTTTACAATAATTGGTTGCTTGTGGCATGCAAGACTGTGTTGGAAAACTGATGTTTTTTTCCAATTTTTAATTTCAATCAGACCTAATAGTTTTAGATTATTGGGATTGAGTAAAAGCTCTTTTTGTCGCTGCCTATATTTGATTTTCCTGCTCTCGCTTGCATAAGAGGTCTGAATAAATTCTGTTTCATTGAAGCTTATTGTACGGAAACTGTGATTGAATACAAATAATGAATTTTTACAAATGTCCAAATCGAATCTGTCCAATGTATCGACAATAAGTTCTTCGAATGAAAGAAAATTTTGACATTCGAAAAATACAAAATTGAAAACTGTGTCATCAGTCTTCGCATAGTAAGCATACAAAATATTGGACATTCCGAAGGGTTGATTGATAATAGTTTCCTCTAGTTGTTGTTGAATCGAAAATTCTGTCGCTTTTCAGAATTTCCAATATCGGCTTTTGAAAATTTTCACAATGCCAGATATTTTCTTTTTCATAATTATCTATTTCAATGTAAATATCGATGTCGCCATATTTATTGGTTTTACCTAGTAAATATGAAACAAAACCTCCTGCAGAAAAACATCTTAATCTATAACCTATCTCTAATAATAACTTACATAAAATGTTTAAAATTAAATCCAAATTTTCATTCAACCGAAAATCGATTTTTTTCGCATTGAAAAGTAACGTTTCATTTAAATAATGGTAAGTGGCAATATTTGTTGATGGAGCTCTACAGAGAAAAGAAAATTACAAGTTGGACTTATTATAAAGGAAAAAAATTTACCTTATAAATTTGGCAGGATTGACGGCAGGGCTTTTGATTTCAGCCATGATTTTCTCACCATCGTCTGATTGATTTGTTTCAAAATTGATTTCCTCATTTTCTCGTCTTTTCGCCATTTTCTCTATTGGTATAGAAAAAAAAACACATATACACACACAAACTTAAAAAAAACAAATAGATACTTACTCAGAATGTTTGGTAAACTTTTTTTTTTCACAAAATTAAAACAGTTGAGTTTTGTTTTCAACTCGCAACCGAATAATAAAATAATGAATTACTTACGAGGGGTGTACACAAGAGAGCGCTTTTAAAAAACTTTATTTGACTAATACAATAGAACTGACTTAAATCTAAAAATTACTCCTTTTTTAATATAAAAATAAGCTGAATAGAACAATATAAATGCTGAATTGGAGTTCTCACGGGATATAACTCCACCATCCTAAGTTAAAAGCATACCAAAAAAGGTATGGTTTTATACAATGGAAAAAATAAAGAAAATGCTAAAAGAAAAATATGATTAAAATAAATAAGTAAAAGTAAAATTGTTAAATTACAATATCGTCTTCTAACGAGGCTTTTTGGGCACGTTTAAGGCGATGTTTCAAAAGTAATTTATAGACAGTAAAAATGCATAGTATTCCTAAAATACAATAAAGTAAAATTGTCCAAAAATGTATTTGGTGCATTTCCATTGGGTTGGATATTTCTTGTAGTCGTCTCTTCTGTTCTTGAAGCGTTGTGGCAATTTCATTGGTTTCTTTCAAGTTGATGGAGTTCAGGTCAAGTGTAGGTGGATTAAAAGCAAACTCCTTTGTTTGGTAATAATTCATCGATAAATTCAGTGTAGGCAAGGATACATCATCATAAGTCAACCGATTGGGATTATAAGTTCGAAGAGTAATTGACTTTATTTGTAAGCTGCATTCATTTGTAGATTCTGCTAAGTAGGAACCATGAAGCGGTACGTTGTCCTTAGAGTTTGGACAAGATGCTGAGACAATTAGTTGTTCGGGCGTGGTGATTATCCATTTTCCGTCCGTTATTTTAGTGATTTGGACATTTTGTAGTCTGATACGGAAAGGGTGGCAAGTAGTGGCATTTTCTTTGTATAAAATCAATTGGTCTGCACATGGAGGCTCATGATCAATGTATGCAGTATGGGCTTCTTTACATAAGTACTCGTTGGGTAACAATTGGTTGCAGGTTTGGTCCATATAAGAGTACTTGTTGTTGCTAAGTGCAAGGTATGGTTTGTGTGGAAAGTTCATAAAGAAATCAGGATTTTATTCGCTTGGAATTGGTATCGGAAATAATTGATAATAGTGATAGACATCCGATTCGACCAAGGGTATTTCCAAGATGAAGGTGATAATCAGGCCCTTTGAATAACCTTTAATCTGGATTATTTTTTCGTAGTTCAATATGTTATCAATATTGGCTTCTAATGGTAACACGTCATGCACTAATTGTTTTTTAAATTTACAAATTTCTTTTATTAGCTCTAATGGATCGATTATTGAATTATGGAGCATATTGATTTTAGCAAATGAGATAGCTACTTCCGTTTTTTCTAAGATATCGTAAATTGTTTGATATAGCATTGATATCTGATTAATTATTATGTGAGTTTGGAAGTATTGATGGTTGTCAATAGCAGACAGAGCTACCTTTTTAATTGTGCTTTCAATTTGCAGTATTCTCGATTTTAGCGTTATTTGATTGGCAGATATATTAGAGATAACGTTTTGAAACTGTTCAATGGTTTTCCCTAATAAATTAATTTGATTAAATGATGATTTTTTAAGTTTATCTTGATTTTCTTGTAATTGTCTAATTTGCCTATCATAAAGATCTGCATCATCTTTATCAAGATTGCCAGTAATGCATTTTATTAATGATCCTAAAGGATTCAAGATGCCACGTTTTTGTCTTTTTGAGTAACTACTCGTTGGGTCAATTTGCCTTATGTTGTTTTCTATGCGTTCTTCTAATGCCATTAAAGGCAGCAACGTGTTTTTATATTCTCGTTCATAGGATACATTATTTGTAATGTTTTTAATTAAATAGTTAGCGTTTTCTTTGATCAAATAAAATTCGTTAACAAGGGGTGTTAGGTCGTGAATTTGTATTAATGACCAATGATTGGAAACTATTTTGGCAGTTCCCAATTTATAGGGTAGGAGTCCGGGATAGTTATTCAGGTTATGGAAGTTTATTCCTACTGCTCCGATGTTGAAGATTCGGATCCATCTGTAACAATAGATTTGATTTTGGTTTCGTTGATATGCAAAATCTCTTTTCGATTTGTTTTGGGGTTTTCAATTTCAATCTTGCTGTTTTCTAATATTTTTGTTAAGATGAATGGACCTGTGAATCTGTGGTGTAATTTACCACGTCGTTTGTCTTGTTTTTTATATATTTGACACCCTATGGTTAGTTTTTGAGGGATCTTCTTTTGATTATGTTTGTCAATATGTTTTTGTTTTAAATTAATTGAGTCTTGTTGTATTTTGTTATACAAAACTTCCGTGTTAGTTTCGTGATTGTGGACATATTCGGTGAATATTTGCGCGGGCATAAGTTGCATAGGGTCACTAGAAGAAGTGTGTCCTAAAATCAATGTATAGGGAGTAAAGCCTGTGCTTGAATGGATTGTGCTATTATAAACAATTACAGCATAGGACATTAGGGTTGATACGTCAGTGTTTTTGTTTTTTTCTCGTCGTATTCTTATGTGTTCTATCAGGGTCGAGTTTAACCTTTCAACTGGCGAATTCGACTCGTGATGATTTGGAGTAGTAAAATGGATTTTAATATTATGTGTTTTTAATAAATCCTTAACTACTTTGTTCTTGAATTCTGTTCCATTATCGGATACAATCAATTTAGGGATACCGAAAAATGAAAAGAAATGGATTAGATTTTGGGATACTGATATGGCTGTGCCAACGCAAGGAAGGGCTTGTCCATATTTGGAAAATTTGTCTATAATTACTAGGAATTTTTGTTTATCTACAAGGAGTGTATCGAGGTGAATAATCTCGAAGGGTTTTGAAGGTGTTTCTGTCAATACAAGAGGTTGGTCTGGTGGATTCTTGTTATACTTAGTTCTTTGACATATTTCACATCCATTAATAAATTTAGTGACGTCAGGTTTCAGGGATTTCCAATAATAATTAATTTTCAGGCGTTTTAAGGTTTCCTGTATTCCTCGATGGTTAGTTTTGCCTTCGTGTGAAAATCTTATTATCATTTCTCTTTCCTCTGGTTTAACATTATTAATGAGTTTTGTGCATTCTACAAGCTTGAAATTACAAAAGTGTTTAGATAATGCTTCTTGAAATAAAACACGTAATTCTTTTGATAAAAAGTGCACATAGGTAGTTTTCTCTGTAAGGTTTTCTTTCAGAAAATTTACTATCGCCTCTTGTTTCGTGGGAATCGTTGCTCGGATTATCCTATTACCGTCGAAGGTTTCAAATTCTCTTTTTATGTAGGCGTCGTATGGTGATTTTTTCACAATTAATTGATTCGTTTTGTTATTAATTATTTCATCTAATATTGGGATTTCATTTAGGGTTTCGTCTGCGTTTGTACTATGAGCAGTGTCAGTAATGGACGTATTATCAATTGGTGGTTTAATTCGGATATCTTCAAGAATTTTTATTCTAGAGGTTGAAGGCTCTTGAGAAGTTGAAGGCACTGGAGGTAATTCAACCGGTCGATTAAGTTCGTTTATGATTTTGTTATATTCGTCAGTGTGAACTTTTTCTAGAAGATTTTTATCGATTTCGTTTAGAAATTTATCGATGTCGTTGTAATATCTCCTGGATTATTAAGGAGAGATTCTGTTTCTAAAGCGTTGAGTGGAATTCTTGAAAGAGTGTCGGCGTTTGTATTTTGTTTGCCGCTTTTATATATAATGGTGTAGTCGTATTCTTCAAGCTTTAATCTCCATCGAATAAGTTTTGAACTCTTTTACATTGAAAAGCCAGACTAAAGGTCGGTGATCTGTGTATATTTGAAATTTCCTTCCAAATAAATACGGCCTAAAGTATTTACATGCCCAGATGATAGCGAGCAATTCTTTCTCAATTGTCGAGTATCTCTGTTCTGTTTCATTTAGCGTGCGGGAAGCATACGCTACGGGATGATCGTTGGGGGGTGTTGATTGAGATAAAACTGCACCGAGAGCTGTATTAGAAGCATCGGTTGTTAATACGAAGGGCTGTGTGAAATCAGGGTATTTAAGGATTGGGGAATTAATTAGAAGATTTTTTAAATGGTTGAATGACGATAAAAATGCTGGGGAATGTTCGACTTTAGCATTTTTCTTAAGTCATAATGTCATTGGCTTGGCAATTTTAGCAAAATCCTTTATAAATCTTCTATAGTACCCAGCTAGTCCTAAAAATGATTTGATATCTTTTGGTGTTTTGGGTATAGGAAAGTTTTTTACAGCTTCTATCTTATCTGGGTTGGGTTTCACGCCTGCTTTGGTTATTAAATGTCCAAGGTAATTGACTTCTTTGTGTAAAAATTCGGACTTATCCAATTGAATCTTGAAATTTGATTGTCTGAACCGTTCAAATAATAATCTCAAGCGTTCTATGTGCTCTTGGAGTGATTTACTGTATATTATGACGTCATCCAAGTAAACGCAACATATTTCGTTCTGGAGGCCACGAAGAACGTTGTTCATTACCCTCTGGAACGAGGCGGGGGCGTTTCGTAAACCGAAGGGCATACGTTTGAACTCGTAATGTCCTGTGTCGGTGGAAAATGCTGTTTTGTGTACGTCTTCCGGTTCCATCTCTATTTGGAGGAAACCATTTGCTAGTTCTAACGTCGTAAAGTACTGAGCTTTACCTAGTCTATCTAAAATATCAGAGATGTTGGGTAATGGGTACTTGTCTTCGATTGTTTTGTCGTTAAGTTTTCGGTAGTCAATTACTATTCTCCATTTTCTTGTACCAGATGCATCTAGCTTTTTTGGTACAATCCAAATTGGGCTAGACCATGGGGAATTAGATGGTTGTATTATACCATTTTTCAACATCTAGTCCATTTGGGTGCTGACTCCCTTCTTATGAATCTCAGGGTATCTATAAGT